TCCAACCATTATTAATTGGGTAGCATATTATAGACCTACAAAGTCTAAATATTGGAGTAGGTATGAGTAATGCGTTATGTTATTTGCTTTTAAATTTATGGCGGTTTTATTGACTCAATAAAGTTAATTATGTGTAGGAAGTTAACAGTTTTGTTTATTAAAAAATAATCTTCATTAATATCTGAACACTAAAGGAAAGATAAAAAGTTTACTAACCACAAAACATATAATTGTATCACTGGATTGGATCTCAGCGCCCAAAAGTCTTAGTAGTCTCTTTTGCACTTCATTCATATATTTTGCACTTTCAACATATATTAGAGCTCTCTAGGAATATGTTTATATAACTTCTATTCAACAAATGCAATGTCATGAAAATAGCTCCTGTCCGCCATTTACAATCTATAGATAATAAGACCCTCTATCCTGCATATTTTTTGTTAAGTCATATCTAAATTTATTTCATAACCTGTTCTAAGTTAAGTCATATCTAAATTTATTTCATAACCTGTTCTAAGTTAAGTCATATCTAACCGTTTCCAAATCAGAAAATACGATAGTTATATGAACTTGTTGAACATCTGTCTTTCCTTTAACAATCTTTTCGCTTTATAGACCCATAACGAGAGCTAGTCACAATTTAAGAAAACCTTTCTTCTTGTTTCAATAAAATCTTAAAAATAGCCAAAAACAGGAGTCGAAAAAAACTGCTGTGGAACGCTTACAAATGTTTGGTGACATTTATACAAATGAAAAAGGTATGTATGAACAAAAGAGTCTCTCAAGACATGTTAGAATCAATTAAAAATACCATGTATAGTCAGTTCATAATGTATTGGTATAATATATGTATCTGTAATTTTTCAATGTACGCATAAAATGTGAAAGTTGTCTAATTATTTTACTAGTATACCCCCACTTTTGCGTGCGTGTCTGTCCTTATTAATATTTCACCATCTCTATATCAAAAAAAATTATCTAGCTAGATCTCTGGGATTTGACTTATTGTAGCAGGTTATTGGTACCACAAGGGATAGCATGATCTCTCGCAATATAGAAGAAAGGATGAATAATAAATATTTCATGGTTGATTTCAAGTCTAATATCTAATGATGTTCAACAATTAGACAACATTTAATATAAGTTGAACAACTAAGTCATTGTATTCAAACGAAATGAAAACATGGCAAGTAATTAATGTGTAATGGCATTTAAAGACGATGAAAACATGAGTAAGTAGCTAATGTATAAGGACAGTCAATATAATTAAAATGAGAAACAATGGCATTGAGACGAAGAGTTGAATAGATTATCAAGGCTATTCTTATACACCAGAGAGTAATTCTGAAAGTGCCGTAAGCTAAGTAAATTATTGCTTCTTAAATCTTTGAGTTTAGTGTAAAGCAAAGGCCAAAATACCCTATTTACTAGTTCATTTCCTGTTGCTATTATGGCATTTACAATTTTAGACAGCATAGAGTATTTTTATGGGAAAAAAAGATCTTTTTTTTCTATTTATAAAAAGTATCGCGTAGAAACAGACAGTCATTAGTCGTAGGTGCATTTATTTATTTACAAGAACGCAGAATGGCTTTTCCATTGGCGTCACAGTGACGCCATGTGCTTTTCAAATGAAACCAATTTATTTACTTAAAATGTGAAAGGCTTTGAGAGATTTGTGTCTGCACAAGGGTAGACTTTTCCCTCTGGGCTGTTTCATAGCTTCAGCTTCTGTCACTTTTCTAAAACTAATGCTCACTCTTTGTAAACATGAACACGCTCTTTCTCGAACGTCGAAGAAGCTACAAAAGCTAATGCTTGTGAATGAAAAATACCAAGATAGTTTGCTTGCCATGTAAAAAAAATAAGAATAAAATAAATGATTTGACTCTTTTTTTTCCCCTAAATCAAACTTTTAACTTTCAGTCTCATACAGTAGCTGCATTAATTCATGAATCTTTCAAACAATTGTAAAACAAAAGTGTTTCTATCGATTCGTGTACCTAAGAAATTCTTATTCAAGCATTTAATATTGATATGAAGGTAAAGACGTTGTTTTACATCAAAGCGAACACTATTAAACATTAATTATAGTTGTCATAGAGCATTAGTATTAAATCCTAAACAGTTATGCAGTTTCTTAAGCTATTTTAAGAAGAAGCGTACATAATAGTATTTCAGTCGCACTATGTTCTTTATGTCCATTGGTGGCATATCTTCTTATACATTTTTCTTTATGAGAAGCACTAAAGGTCTGAATAAAGAAGGCAGTATTGAAAATATAAAAGGTCTAACACGAATGTCTTATGATAAGTATAATTAATTATAATTCTGTTTTGCCAGCTTAGAAAAGGCGTTCACACCAAACATAACAAGTGTTAAACACTATATTTCAACTTAAAAAATCAGAGAGAAACCCAACTATTCAACGTGAAAGGGAAATGTTGAAGACGCGTTTCAATTTTTCACCCACAATGTAAATTACCAGAATTTTTTTTTCCCAAAAGAAGAAATGGGTAAATTGGACTCCACTTCGATAGGATATTAAGAAATACGTACGAACTTGTAGGGATAATGCTTTTTTCTACTTATGTTAAAACTGTTTCTCATCGCCAAAGAATGACTCCGTGAGTCAAAGGCAAGTTTACAGAATTACAACTCTAACATCCGTGACTCGATTCTCTGCCATGGACAGAACGCAGATAACTCATTGTTTTGCTTCACGGAAGAACAACAACATTTTTATACAATTAAACTCGAAGTTTTTTAATTGTTTATTTTTACTGTAACCTTCAATTTGTGTATTATATATGACAATCATACATACATATATATATATACATACATGTATACACTAATTAAAAATTAAATTACGTTTATCTGTTATCACTTAAATCAAATTAAACACAAAAAAAAGATTATCCTTATTTTATATCTAGTTTAAAGTTAACGAGCTATATCCCGGTTGGTTAACGGTACGTTTACCAGCTTAAAATGTTAAAATCTGTGGCTTGATTTCCCGCCATGAACAGAGCGCATAAAGCCCATTGTGTAGCTTTTTGCTAAAAAAAAACGAAAAACTTTTAAACAACTAAATATTCACTTTCAAGTGACTTCAAAGCATATAACGTTAAAATATGGGGATCGATCCCTGCGAAGAACACAGCGCAGATAGCACTATTGTACAGCATTGTGTTTATAAAAAAATACTATTCTGTTAGCAAATGGTAAGCGTAACTTTGAGTAAAATTAATACAATAAAAAATACCAAATACAAGACTCATCTAGGAATCTATAAAGAGTTTGAAGGAATATTCTTTTACTTCTGTTTTATTGTTATTTTATTACTTGGAGTAAATAAAGCCATGATAATCAAAATTTGCCTTTATTATCTTACAAGATCTTGTTATATGATTAGTTACAACATAAGTCGACTATTTGGAAAAAAAATATTTTTGTTTGTTTTATAATTTTAGCGCAAACCTACACACAGACGTTTTCCTAATTTTAAAGTGATAACCTTCAAAACGAAAGGTAGGTAGTCAACAGCACCCACTTATAACACTTGTGATACTCTTGTTTGACCAAATAATGGCATATGGTCCTCACTCTTAAAGTGCAAAAACAGTTAGCTACATAATACGAATATCATTTTTGCAGCAACAGGCCCGGCATGGCCAGGTGGTTAGGGCGCTTGACTTGCAATCTGAGGGTTGTGGGTTCGAATTCCCGTCCCACCAAACATGCTCGTCCTTTCTGCCGTAGGGGCGTTATAATGTGATGGTCAATCCACTATTCGTTAGTAAAATAGTAGCCCAAGAGTTGGCGGTGGATGGTGATGACTAGCTGCCTTCCCTCTATTCTTTCATTGCTAAATTAGGGATGGCTAGCGCAGATAGCCCTCGTGTAACTTTGCGCGAAATTCAAAAACAAATAAACAATTTGCAGCAACAAGACAAAATGTATGAGCTTTTAGGTTCACACGTTAACCATTGGGCAACACCAGTCCCAGAAAATTTTAATCAGTAGTCAAGTAATAATGTTTAATCGGAATGAAAGAAACTATAAAATTGATATTTCTAATTTTATCACAAATTATTTCCTCATCAGTGATGTTATAATTACCCCCCAGTGGCACAACGGTATGTCTGCGGACTTGCAACGCTAGAATCCGGGTTTCGATACCCGTGGTGGGCAGAGCACAGCTAGCCCATTGTGTAGCTTTGTGCTTAATTACAAACAAACTGATGTTATAATTAATTTTAGATTATTATCATAAACAAAGGTATTCGCTTTTTTGTTTTGTTTTGTAATTTAATGATTGTAATTATATGTTGATATATTTGAATGCTTTTTTAATAGCAGTGTTATTTCGAAGTTATTAAGAGTAAGTAGTTTAATAAAAAGAAGCATAATTATATAATAATGCTAATTATGTTTAGTGTTATATTGCGTAATATAACTGGATAGGTAAATATTTTTGCAGGGAATTTTTCATAGATTTCTCTTTCAATCAAAAAGCAGTTAACAGTTAAATTGCAAAATGATTCTTCGTGCAAAGCGCTTGAGGAAGTGTTTAACAAAACACACTACATACATATTAGAGACAACAAAAATCAGAAATTTCATTCAATTGGCAGAATCCTATATTTGTGCGAAAATATTCTCTAATTAAAAAGTAATATCTGTATGTATATTTTTTTTATTTTGTGTTAAATGTGTTTCCAAGTTTCTTTATTAATTAGAAACAAAAAGAAAATTATAATCAAGATATTATTTCACACTTCGTTAATCTACAGGAAAGGGACTTTTAAAGTATTACATATAAAGCAAGTGCTAATAGATAATTACACATTATTCGCATACTTTAACTTTGAAAATAACGTGTATTACTTTCGCTGTCATGTTAATCAAAACTTGTTTTATGTTTCGTTTTGTTTTTAAATTAGGATAGCATGTTATGTCCACTAATTAGAATTGTAGATGAATTATACTTGTAGGTTACGATCCTGAAATTCCCGGATACCCCAGGTATGGCATGGTAGTAGACCGATTACGAGGAGTATATAACTTGAGGATAACAAACGTCCAGCTTCAAGACGAGGGTGAATATGAATGTCAGGTATAGCAGTCTTAGTACCTGTTTTTCTGATAAAATGCTTTGTTTTTGTAAGTTGTGTGTTATATAATACATGGGATCTTCTATAGTTCTCCCACTAAAGAAGACAAGTTTGTTTTGTTTTTTTAAGTACTGTGATAATAACGTGCAGATGGCTTTTAAACAGATAACATTATTTTGCTGTGCAAAGTCATTTGATTGAATATAAAATATACAATAGAATGGAAATTAACTGTTTTATTATTATTAGTGTTAACTTTAATCTGTGATTGAAGTCCTGTTTTTCTTACTCGGTTCCCTGAATAGGAAGTCAAAAATATTAGCTCATTTGTGTTTACAGGTTAGCCCAATATTAGCTCATTTGTGTTTATCGGTTGGACCGAAATTAGCTCATTTATGTTTACAGGTTGGACCAGCCTTGAACAATAGAAGGATATGGGAAAAGGCAAATCTTACTGTTTTAGGTTAGTTTCTTTGTTATTTTTTGTCAAGATAATATTATTTATGTTCACATTACAAGTTCTTCTGCTAATTTGAAACAACTATCGATGTAAACTCAAAACAGAAAGCAATTGCTTAATTAACTCCTAATTGAAAATAAATGTTCAATCTTATCATCAATGAGATGATTTCCTACTTTGAAATCAACTTAATTGTGTTGAGTGTTCAACATTTTTGCCAGCGATGAGGACTCATTGTATGCTAATATTCGTAACTGCCCTGTTAAATATCGAATGTTAACTCTAATGATAATATTAGTGTCCATTAGTTTTATAATTTTAAGTATTCAGTCTGTTCAAATACGTTTAGTCTAATACTATATATCTTTGCGGTAGAAAACAGTTCGTTCATTTACAACGATTCGCTCACTTGTTTATTTCTTTTATTCATATTTTTACGTAGAGATAGTACGGGGAAATCACCAGCATAGACATTTCTTTGTGTGGTTTTACACTAATATAAGCAAAATAGAGTTACTAACTGTAATGTGGAAACATACTTTCTGACATTTTATTCATATTTTACGTAGAGATAGTACGGGGAAATCACCAGCATAGACATTCCTTTGTGTGGTTTTACACTAATATAAGCAAAATAGAGTTATAACTGTAATTGGAAACATACTTTCTGACATTTTATTCATATAATCTGTAATTTCTCATAATTACGCCTTATTGAATATAACATCATCCCATATTATTTTAATATTTACTTAGTTCTACGCATTTTAAGCCTACCGTTATCCCAGGAATTATCTTTTCACTAAAGTACAGAATTTATTGATATGAAGAATATATATATATATACATAATTTGTATTTATGTACTCTATCTTAATTGTTCTTCAGTTCCACCACAGAAAGTAGAAATTCAGCACAGAACAAATGCGAATATCCTCGAGGTACGAGAGGCTGAGCGTGTTCCACTCACGTGTTTTGCGCGACTGAGTAAACCGCAAGCAAAACTAAAATGGTTTAAGAATGGGATCGAACTTAAAGGTAACAATAAGTAAAAAGTATTTGGATTATTGACTTACCTTAAGAATGACTTGAACAGTAAGAGTTTTTTATATGAAAATTTTAATTTATAGTTCCTACTTAAACTTTAACCATAACACATATATATATACGAATATATTGTGCTGGGCAGTAGCTTATATTGTTATTGGATTTCAGATAATTGCTGTGAAAAGTTAAGTTACGAAAATTCCTTAAAACATTTCACATACTACTTGAGTACAATGACTGATGCTAACAAGCATTATTCAAAACCTCACACTGATGATAGGGATCATTCCCAGATCTTTCTTCGTTGGCAGTTTAATGGATGTTTAATTTTGCAAATCAATGAAAATAATTTGTGGCCTTGCCTGAATTTACAACAGTGAATAATCCCAATGCATGAAACCTTCATTATTATTAAGTTTATTTATGGTAAAAGTGATTCATCGATATTTAACTCCTGTATTCTGTCTGTTCAATACAAATGAACACTGGTGAAAATAGTAAAAAAAAAAAAGCAAGTCGAAGTTTTCACGAAGATATACATGGAAACCGGTGTAATACTAGTGTTGTTGTTGTGTTTGCAATTTTCCAAATATGTCAGTTAATAAAGTAATGTGAGAACAGATTTTGAGAGGTCAACACAAAGCTACTAAAAGTTCGTTTCGTAATCACGTGTAAAGTCAAACAATAGGCTATGTTAAACATACGAACAACGAGTTCTACTGAAAAAGAAACTACACTGTTTCTATATCTTTATAATAGACTTTTGCACAGTGGTCTGCAACTTGCAAGGAAGAACACAAAAAGGCCTAAAATTTTGATATATTAGGTAAACTAAGTTTAAAGATTTGTCATATTATATATATTTTTGTAGCAGTTATTAATTCAAAAGCCCTAACAATAAAAGAATGTCAGAAGCACATCTACATGTTAAGAAAATGAAGTGATTTTTTTAATTTTATCATTTTAGTACGTGAGGAAACAGAAACAACATTTCACGATAATACCCACTAGAATGTTTATTCATTTCCGCTTATGAAAAGCGTATTTCACATATTTTTGGTCTATCACATTAGAATAATGATCTTCAATTATTTCTTCCTGGAATGTATATCTCCTAGCTTCGAAAAATACGTAAATTGGTATATGTTAATAAATATAAACGTGTGTGTGCTTTTGGTTTTTGTTTAAATGATTTGATGTATTCTAGGAGCTTTACTGTTGTGCTTGCTATGTACGATAAAACGATTTATTAGCGCGTTATTTTACTTAGAGAACGCAATGTTCAAGAAAAAAGATATACAGAACAGCTTGTTCACAACCTCTATCACAACAACGCTCTACCCAAAGTTAGACGACAACAACGCCACCTACGAATGCCAGGCAATTCATCCTGCAATAAAGCGACCAAAATTTTCATCCGTAACTGTCATAGTTTTGTGTAAGTTTAAATATATTTTGTTTAATTATTTGTAAACACAAAGTAAGGATGTTTAACTTCAGAATTCGTATCGAGTTTCGTATCGTTATTGTATGGTTCGTGCTGTTAAGATATTAAATTTAAGATTTGTAATTAATCACAATAAACTTGAGCACTAATGTAAATAGAAGCATTTGGTTAAATTATAATTATTATAATCTCAATTTTGGTATCAATACATATTTGACTTCGAAATCATTTCTCATTTTCTTTGTTTCAAAATTATAAATGTATATTTATAGTGTATTTAGACTTAAATAAACTATCTATAATTTTCAGAAAACATAAGCATTTATTTGTACTACTTAAATAAATCTCTATAAAAATTAGCGGGGAAGTGAATTAATGAATTAATAAAATGGGATTTGTCATATATCAAGTTTGAAGATCATGGTAAAAGTTTAACTCCCGATCTTATTTTGCTTGTTATCGTTGGTTTAAGTTAATCATATAGTCATGAATAACGTTTTTTGTAACAAGTATTTGTTTTTAGATATTAATTAGTACTTGATTTTCTTAAATAAATTTAACATTATGTTAATTTTTCTTTGTAATAACCTAATCTATCTATTTTCGTTCTTTTTTTTAAATAATGAGTTTTGTTGTTGTTGTTGTTGTTTTCTAGTTCCTCCTGAACCACCAAAAATCGAAGGCTACCGAGAAGACGATATCGTTCAAGTTGGAGATACATTAACACTGGCTTGTATATCTCGAGGTGGAAATCCTCCACCGAAACTACTCTGGTTTCGAAATGGTGCGCTAGTTGATTCGACTTATTCAGGATCGGGCAGAGAAACTACGAATCCCTACACATTTCATGTTGATTCATCAGACAACAATGCCGAGTATCGCTGCGAGGCTTCTAATACTATAACATTAAAACCTACGGGTGCTACTGTTAAATTAAAAGTCTACTGCAAGTATAACTGCCTTTATAAAGCTATTAACATTACTGGGAAATTGTTCAGGCACGTGATGTGAAGCAATAACTACATATGAATGCTAATAAATATCCCTGACTTTATTATGTAGTTATTGCTACATACAGTTTTACATGCTATATTTTTAGCATTTTAGAACCATTTACTGGGTCTATTAAGTATTTTTACTTTCTTCTCTTTCAAAAACGTTAAACACTTTATTGAAGTTGGATCTGTCTCGTGTGTATTTCACGAATTAGCGAAATGTGATTATTATACTTTGAAATTACAGCTTACTTAAGAGCTTAATCTTACTTTATTTCATGTGCAAAATATATGTACATAACGTCTAATCTTTCAAAATTTTGATAGTGAGAGAATATTTTGGCAAGTTATTTTTGACAAACATTTTGGATATTAAAACAAATACATTATATATATATATATATACATTATATTTCTTACAGTGTGTATGTTTATCTTGCTTGAATTGTTATCAGTCTCCTCCAAAACAACACCAAAGCTAATTAAGTAATATAT